ACTCATTGGCCTGGGCTTTCCTCTGAGCCCTGAAATATCCCCCCTGACCAGCTCAACCTCTGGCAGCCCACAGGGGGCTCCCCAGCTAGACGCATGAGGCTCAGCTCAGAGACACCAAGTTCAGGGCCCAGGAGGAGGCTCCCTTCTGCACCCACTGCTTTGTGCAGCCAAGTGCCTGGCATGTTGGAGCAACAGGCTCCTGGCAAAGTGGGGACAGGTGGCATGGGCGGTTGGGCCCTGGCTAGCAGAGGGGAGCCCAGATTGCCTTCCATTGCTGTCTCCTGCATGTCCAGCCCTGTTCCCTGCAGTTTGTGATGGGGCAGGGAACCAAGCAGGAGACCTGCCATCGGTCCAGCTTTGGAGAGCAACCCTGCCACGTAGAGCAGGGGCAGCCCAGGGGTGGGCCAGAGGGGTCATAGGGCTGGGGCTGTCCTCCAAGGCCTTCCAGGAAAGGGCAGCCCTGGAGATCAGGTCTCCGGAAGGACTAAGCCAGAGGACCTTGGGCCCGAGTCTGGGGTGGCCGCTGACTCCAGCTCAGCAAGCCACCCACAACCACCCTATCTTTGCAGATGCTGGTTTGGCAAGGAGCCCGGAGATCTGGTAGACTACATCTACCAGGGCCCCATCATCCTGGTGCTTCTGGTAGGTCCTCAGTGGGGTGTGGGTGAGGTAGGGCGGAGGACCCCCCAATAAAGGTGCTGGGAAGGATACAGCATAGGCAGCCCTGCACACCCGCTCTATGCCACCCCCCTGCCCTGAGCCCCCCACTGCACTTCCCTTCCTCACCCTCGGTCCCCTGGTGCCGCTCGCTTCCTCTCTGGATCCACAGTCTTTCTCCCGGAGCAGAAAGGCTCTGACTGGCAGGTTTCTAGGGCCCTCCCAGGTCTGCCAGCCCCTTGCTAGGTGCAGTGTTGAGAGCAGGGAGAACGGCAGCTGTTGGCAAGAGGAGTGTTTGTGGGCCTCTGTCAGCCAGACCCACAGCCCCTGTGCCCCCGGTGAGCTGCTCCGTCCCAGCCCACCGCCTCCAGAGAGAAGCGTAATGAGCAATTGTTCCCGTCCAGCTCCCCACCCTTTGCCAAATGTGTTCGCATCTAAGGTATAATTGCCTCCACGTCTACGCGCTTTAATTAAGACAGAGTTTAAGTAGAGGCTGCATTCTGCAAAAAAGAACCCATTATATATCATACATTTAAAGAGAGAGAGCAAGACATACAAAAAGGCCCCGTAAGAAATTGGCATTTACGTAAGACTTATTTTGGGCTGGGTAATTTCAGGTTCCTGTAGGTACCGGCTTCCTTAAAGGGCCATGGTCCCTCTGGGAAACTCAGAGCACGGTCTTCCTTCTGTTCACAGCTGGTGCCTCGTGGGGCTTCCTTTAATCTGCTTGTGGAGGGCAGTACTGTTTGCCTCTTTTTACCTTACTCTCCTTTTTGCGACTTTGCCCTTCCTTGGTTCATTTGACTCTTACCTTTGGCGCGTCTTTGATGTGTGTGAACTGAGGATGGTTAGGAAGGGTTTTCACTGTGGCTGACATCCCACCATCAGGGCTCCGGGGGCTTCGGAGTAGAAGCCCGTCCTTGTCAGCGGTTGGAGGGGGGAGGATTGGCCTCAGTCTCCAAGCTGCAGTGAGTCACTGCCTCCTCAGCGTGAACAGAAACCCTCTGAGATCTGTCCCCTCCCAGCCAGCTGCCAAGAGGGAGAGGGCTTGTGATGAGCCTGGGATCCAGCCAAGGGAGGCTGGCCTGGCTGGGGGACCGATGGCAGGGGGAGTCCGCTCCAGCTGAAAGGGTGCCGGGCCAGGTGGTGAGCACGGGCCAGGAGAAAGGGAGACAAGGGGTGCCAGGGCTCAGTGTCAGCCCGACTCCCTGCTCCCCTCTCTTGTTCCACCCCACCTCTCAGCTCAAAGGTCCTCCACTCGCCTGTTCCTCCGGGCCCTGCTGTTTGCACCTGCAGGACTTCCAGGTTCCAAGCCAAGCTCCGTCTGCATTATTTTCAGTCCTTCCATCCCTAATGCCTGAAAGAAGTAGAGGTGATGCTCCCCATGTTACAGATGGAGGAGAGTGGAGGAGGTAAAATGACTTACCCTATGTCACCACTGGTAGCTAGCGAACTGCAGCTCGGGGGCAGGTCACCCACCTGTCACCCACTACCTGCGTGCTGTCCTCTTGGCTGGATATGGGCTTGGTGTCCCCCCACCCCACCCCAGCCCAGCAGTTCACAGCGACATTTCTGCTGCTCAGGGACACTCACTTATTTCTAGGGTCTGGGAAGTGAGTCAAGTGGTTGCATTTGAGGCCTGACTTCTTGAGGGGTGTCATCACTGTGGGAAAGGGATGTGGCATTGGCCAGGCCAGACATGGGGCTTGGTGCCCTGGTGAGCATCTCACACAGCGCAAACCTTCCGAAGCAGGCTCTGCTGATCCCCTTGGGCAGCGGGGGAAGCGGAGGCTCAGAGAGCTGAGGCAGTAGACCTGGGACCATGCAAATGCAAATGGGAACCAGCAAGTGTGAGCCATGAGCCAGCACCTGGTGCCCATGGTCCATTTGGGACCTGGTCCCAGGAGGCACAGCAAGGGACGAGGAAGACAGGGAAGGGGAAAAGCCAACAAAGGGGCAGGGTGACAAGGAAGCTCTCACCACTGCCTGGAGGGACTCAGAAAGCGAGAAGCTGGTGCTTGTCCAGGCCTCGTCAGCGGACAGTAAGCCCCTATCTCCAGGCCACTCTGTCTGCAGGCCGAGCTAGCTCCTGCGGTACTAGAGAAAGCCTCCAGCTGGGAACTGTCCCCCCCAGGTGGACACGAGGGCCCCTGGGGTACAGGCTGGTGCCTACAGTGAGCAGCACATCTGATCTATCTGGCTAAAGTCCAGCTTTCCACTCATGGATGGTGTCCCCTCGCACAGGGCCCTCCCAGCAACGACCCGGCTGCCCGGGCCCAAATGCAGACTCCCCAGCCTGCTGCTACAGCAGTCGTCATGAGCACCCCACGTGCCTTCGATGGCACACTCTGTTGGGGTCCAGGCATGATTAGCTGCCACACAGGAATCGGTGTGGTCTGGGCTTGCTGGGAGGCCAGCCATGGCCCTACGCACAGTAGGGCTAAGAATTTGGGCCTTTGAAACTGCCAGCCTAGAAAATGCCAACAGAATGGGGACGTGGAGGTATTCAGAGGGGACCAGTCTCCCAGGGGCTGTGAAACAGACTGTCACTAGGTTGCCGTGACACCCCTGATTCAACTAGTGTGGCTTCTTGGTGACGAGCTACCAGGACCTGCAGACTCGTGGGACAGAGGCCGCTGTCACTGGACTGGTGACTGTGTGGCACAGGCAGCGAGTGCTGGGGAGGGGTGACGAAGGGCCCAAGACAGGCTGAAGAACCTCTATCAGCCTGCCCAGCACCGGAACTGGGGGAGAGCAGAGGACATTCCCAAGGCCGAGGCCTCCTCTGCCAGCCTGGGTGCAAAGACAGGAGGAAACATGTCTGAAGCCAGGTAGGGAGAGATGGCTGGACACCTTACCTGTCTCCTCCCTGTGCCCCCACCCCCACCTTAACACGCCTCAACAGTGAGGGTGTGGGTTTTGTACTTGTGTAGGTGGTGAGGGTATGAGGTTTGCACATGTGTGGATGGTGAGGGTATGAGGTTTGCACATGTGTGGGCGGTGAGGGCCTGGGGTTTGCAAGTGTGTGGGCAGTGAGGGTCTGGGGTTTGCACGTGTGTGGGCGGTGAGGGCCTGGGGTTTGCAAGTGTGTGGGCAGTGAGGGTCTGGGGTTTGCACGTGTGTGGGCGGTGAGGGCCTGGGGTTTGCAAGTGTGTGGGCAGTGAGGGTCTGGGGTTTGCACGCGTGTGGGCGGTGAGGGTGTGGGGTTTGCACACGTGTGGGCGGTGAGGGCCTGGGGTTTGCACATGTGTGGGTGGTGAGGGCCTGGGGTTTGCACATGTGTGGGTGGTGAGGGCCTGGGGTTTGCACACGTGTGGGTGGTGAGGGCCTGGGTTTGCACACGTGTAGATGGTGAGGGCCTGGGGTTTGCTCGTGTGGGTAGTGAGGATGTGGGGTTTGCACATGTTTGAGCAGTGAGAGCCTGGGATTTGTACATGTGTAGGTGGTGAGGGCATGGGGTTTGCACACATGTGGGTGGTGAGGGTGGTTTGCACACATGTGGGTGGTGAGGGTGTGGGGTTTGCACATGAGTGGGCAGTGAGGGCATGGGTTTTGCACATGTGGGTTTTGCACACATGTGGGCAGTGAGGGTCTGGGGTTTGCACACATGTGGGTGGTGAGGGCCTGGGTTTGCACACGTGTAGATGGTGAGGGCCTGGGGTTTGCACATGTGTGGGCGGTGAGGGTGTGGGGTTTGCACACGTGTGGGTGGTGAGGGCCTGGGGTTTCCACACGTGTGGATGGCGAGGGCCTGGGGTTTGCACCTGTGTGAGCAGTGAGGGTGTGGGGTTTGCACATGTGTGGGCAGTGAGGGCGTGGGGCTTGCACACATGTGGATGGTGAGGGCCTGGGGTTTGCATATGTGTGGGCGGTGAGGGCCTGGGGTTTGCACATGTGTGGGCGGTGAGGGTGTGGGGTTTGCACACGTGTGGCAGTGAGGCTCTTGGGACAGAGGGCTCTCATGAGCCCTGTGATTCCTCCAACAGAGGGGAAGGGCATCCCAGGATGGCTCCTGCTCTAGGGAGTAAACCAGGGCACCCAGGGAGGGGGGACATGCTTATTCCCTCTGCTGTGAGTGGTGGGGGAGGGGCGCGCCTTGTGTCCTCACGGACCAAGCATTGTTGGAGCTTCTGGGACTGTGCGTGATCCTCAGAGAGCTCTTCGCCCTCTCAGTGCTTCAGTTTCCCGCCCGTAACACCGAGATGCCAGTCCCTGCCTCACAGACTCACCGTGAGGGCTACTGGGTTCTGCACGCGTCGGTACCCTGGGCTCAGCGCTGGGGCTCAGCCCAGGATGCTCCTACCAGTACCTGTAGCCCCAGGCCAAGCCCTCGAGCTGGTGGCACCCCTGACACACTGTCCTGAGCCTAGGTCCCCGTGCAGACATACTAAAAGCCACCTGTCCTGGGGCTAGCAGTGTAAAGAACTCCTTCTGTCTGGAATGGGCCCCATGTCCACGGCCTCCCATGGGAGCAGAGCATGAGGGGGGCCACCATAAGGGGGGTCAGGAGAAGCCTTGGAGGCCAGCTACTTCGTGTGTGTGTGAGAGAGAGAGAGAGAGATGGAGAGAGTGAGACAGAGAGAGACATAAGCCCGCAGACATCCCTGGGGCTATATGTGTCCCCTGTGGCCCAGAGCACTTTCTCAGCCGGAGCTGCAGTGTGAGGCCTACACAGTCCGCCCCCCTCCCCCTTGCCTGCTTAAACATGGAGGCAGATGAAGAGACCAGGCATGTCCGTGTGCCCGGATACAGGCTCGCACATGACACACTCAGGCACACTGTGCACGAGTGCAGAGAACAGACCCATGCCAGAGGGAACAAGGGCCAACACACTCACAAGGGTGACCAGCACAGACACCTGGCCGGCTGAGCCCCGGGCAGCAGGGAGCTGGGGACAGTGGCCCCGGTGCCGAGGGAGGGCTCAGGATGAAGACAAATGAGCCCTTCAACAGCCTCTGAGCCAGCCTCGCACACCATCCATCTTCCCTGCCCATGGGGGTCTAGGAAGGCTCTGGGGTTCCTGGGGGCAGGGGATGGATGGGGAGAGTCATCACTCATCCCGCAGGGAATTAATCACTCCGTCTGGTCTGGCCTGCCCCTTCAAGGGCGGGGCTGTCCTCCTGTCAAAGGACCTTGGACGACCCAGAGCCGGAGACAGTGCAAGGCATCAGAAAGCCCCTCGGTCTGTGAGTGGGGCCAGCTCCTGGAGGGTCCCCACACGGGAGCACCTAGGGCGTTCTGAAGAGAGGACCCTGGAGTGGGCCTTTGTGCTCCTGTTCAGTGCTTTCGGAGGCTGCTTCTGCTCCTGGCGTCTGGTGTAAATGGGGGTGTCCCCCATGTCCTGGCAAGGGAGGAGCTGAGACCAGGGGACCCCGGCAGGTGCCGGGTGATCCGGACGTAGTTACAGGGGGAGGTGGTAGCCTCTCAGCTCGTTCCCAGCTCACGGTCCTTCCGTTTTCCCTCCCTGCCTCCCTCCAGATCAACTTTGTGTTTCTGTTCAACATCGTCAGGATCCTGATGACAAAACTGCGAGCGTCGACGACGTCGGAGACAATCCAGTACAGGTACACGGAGGACCCTGGGCCCTGGTGGGGGGCTGCAGGGAGCTCATCTGGGCACCCCCGCCTCCAGGTAGAGCCCTCGGCCTCAGTCCTCACACAGGAAGCTCGTTCGAGCTCCCAGAAGAAACCATACTAAAGCATCCCCCCAGCGCGCCCTGCAGAGGTCGCTCTGCAGTGTGGGCTCAGACCCGTGCCATGGCCTCTCACCCCCAGGAAGGCAGTGAAGGCCACCCTGGTCCTCCTGCCCCTCCTGGGCATCACCTACATGCTGTTCTTCGTCAACCCCGGGGAGGACGACCTGTCGCAGATCGTGTTCATCTATTTCAACTCCTTCCTGCAGTCGTTCCAGGTGGGGCACCTGACCCGATGGGCACCCACGCCTCCACTGCCCACCAGGAGCTTTCCCACCCTGATGGGCACAGGCACCCTCAGAGTTGCACAGGTCTGGCGCAGCTCTGCACAGCTCCGTGAACAGTGAGGCGAACACACACACTCTATGACCCCAAGCCTTGCCCCAGACGCCCGAGCTTCCCCATCCCCCTCCCCCGAGGTCAGGTGTCCCAGCCCCCCTTTTGAGGATTCAGGGCAGTTCTGGGACAGGCCATAAGAAGCTAAAACCCCTGGAGGCCCTTCTCCCTCAAAGTGGACCCTGATATACCCATGCCACGAGGGCTGGGACCCGCCTGGCTCTGAGCCCCTGGGGTCCCAGGTCAGACTGTCCTCCAGCCATCCTGCCCACACTCCACCCTGAGGGGCAAAGAGGCTTCCCACAGGTCACTGAGGCTCCTCCTTCCTTTCCAGGGTTTCTTCGTGTCTGTCTTCTACTGCTTCTTCAATGGAGAGGTATGAGGCCTGGCCCCCAAGCAGGGGCGCTCGGGTCCTCCAGCCCCGCTCTGGGATGGTTTCTCCCAAGCTGCCCTGGCTTTCCTATTCAGCAGCACCCTGGAGGAGGGTGGGGAAGGCCCGAGAGATGCCCCAAGCTTAGTGCAGAGGAGCCTGCCTGTGGGCCTGGAGCAGGCTTAGAAGGCCAACTAATGCAGGCCAGAGCAACGCAGGCCTCCACGTGCTCTGTGTGAAGAGCCCAGGCGCAGGGCCTTAGGGAAGACAGACTGGAACAGAGCTGGGACAGGAAGAGGCTTCCAGAGAAGGGGAGGGTGTGCCTGCCATAAAGTCAGGTCTTGACGGATAACTCAGCTGAAAAGATACTCTCCCAGAAAAGACCATGGGGGGTGGTGGGGTGCTCTGGGGAGCGAGGCAGTAGTGAGGGCTGGTCACTAGCGTCCCGTGTGGTTGACTCAGAGCTGGGCACCCAGGCCAGCGGTGGGTCAGAACACACTGGGTTCCAGAGCAAGGAGCAGACTCAGCCTCCCAGGCCTGAGAGCCTCCAAACCCACAGGAGGCATGCACAGCCTCCCATGCAGAGGGTCCCATGTCTGCGTCTGCACAGGGTGATGGCAGGCCGTCTAGGCAGGCCTGGGGGCTGTCAATCAAAACACGCCGAAGAGGCCAGTCCAGCTGCTGCTGTGCACCGTGGGTGGGGAGGAAGGGGGCTGTGAAAGCAAGCCACCAAGGATGGGGGAGCACTGCTAGAATTTGGGACGGGTGCCCGCCATTGTATAGAAAAGCCCCTCATCACACATGAGAGCCAAAGCCCCCAGGTAAGGGATCGCGTCCGGGAGGGAGCAGAGTCGCTGGCTTTCCCTTTCAGGTAGTGAGTGGTCTTAAGGCCATCTCCCAGGCCTGGAGACAGGGAGAGGCTGAGCGCTGCGGTGCTAGGAGGGGAGAGCCACAGCAGGGGTGTGAACTGGGATGCCTGCTGTGCACCACGCCCTCGCCCCGCCCTCGGGAATAAAGGAGCCCACAGCAGCGCTGGTCCTGTCCACCCCCCACCCCCCTACCCAACCCGCCATGCTGCTGAGTTCCAGTTGAAATTGAGTCAAAGGGGAAGGCAGGTGTCGCAGGGCAAAGGACAGTGGGGCAAAGCTTCTCTGGAGAGGGATAGGAAGGGGAGCCCCGGAGAGAGGCCACCAAGGGAACTGTACAGGGTTAGGGAAGGTTTCAGAATCAGCCAGTCCCTTGGTATGAGGGTGGCCATCAGACCTGAGGGACCAGGAGCAGTGGAGAGAGGACTGTCCCGGTACCCCAGGACTGGCCCCAGGCGTGCTGAGCCTTTCCCTCCCTGCAGGTGCGCTCCGCCTTGCGAAAGAGGTGGCACCGCTGGCAGGACCATCACTCCCTGCGGGTCCCCGTGGCCCGGGCCATGTCCATCCCTACGTCGCCCACACGGATCAGCTTCCACAGCATCAAACAGACGGCCGCCGTGTGACCCTCAGGCAGCCACCTCCCCCGTCATCGTCCACCATCAGGGCGGCTTCCCTACCCTCCTCGCCTTCTGCCTCTGTTCTCCTTGCTGAGCTGCCCAGGCCCTGGTGGGGCAGCGCTCCGACCTGGCAGGAAGGAGGCAGTGCGGCAGCGAAGGGGTCTGGAGGTCCTGGGCCAGCCATCTGCAAATGTCAGAGCTAGAGAGAGCAGGGGGCCGTCACAGGCCCCTGGACAGCTGGTCAGATCCCAGCAGGCATGTGCCTCGCCGCCTCTCTGCACATCCTCACCGTGGCCTGACTCACAGATGAGGAATCGAGACACAAAGCGGGGAAGGGACGGGGCTCCACTGCCCCACATGGTGCGCACCTGTGGGCTTGCCCTGCCCCTATCTCTGTCTTGTGCTCAGTGGCGCCCTCTGCCCTGGGGGAAGGCACGCCAGCTGGAGGAAGGGAGTCATTCTGCTTCATCCCAGGGGTTCTCACCTATACACGCTCCACCCTGACCAAGCTGTCCCTGCAGCCCTCCCCAGCCACTGTCCTGCCCCTGGGGCTCCATGAAGGATGTCGCCCCCTGGGCCTGGCTTTCTCTCCTGGAGACCTGGGCTCTGCCTAGTCCACGGTGGGGGGCTTGCGGAGGGAGGGAGATACAGCCACGCTTAGGCCAACCAGATACACAGCACAGGACAGAACGCGGAGCATAGCAGAAGCGTGGGGTGTGGTGAGGAGGAAGGCGCATGGTGGGACTAGCAGAAACCAAAGTATGTCTTTGGCGCTTGGAACTCACCCCCCAAGTTCCCCCAGGCTGACTTCAGTCCCATCTCCGGAAACACCTCTGCTCTGTGAAATAAACTGTGCTTCTAGGAAACAGCCTCCCTGGGTGGGGTGGGCACGTCTGTCCTTGTCAGCAGGGACTCTGGTCCTGGCCTAAGCTGGTAGGCTTGTCGTCTTCATGGTCAGGGTACATGCAGGCAAGTGTGTCCCTTATCACCCCCTCCCCAGCCCAGGCTAATACCTGCTCCAGCACCCCAGCTTAGGGTGTTTCACTCACCATGAAGGAGGCATGCAGCTCACCCAGGCCACCAGAGCCTGCCCTGCAGGGATAGGAGTTGAAGAGAGCAGCCAAGGCCCCTGGGCACCATGGTAGTGTGGGGGGGATGGCTTCCATCCCTGTGCCCCTCCAGGAGAGCAGGGGAGTCGAGAGGGAGAAGCCATCGGGCTAGTGGTTCCAAAGGGCTGCTGCTCTAGGTACTCCCCTCAAAAATAAATTCTGAAAAAACTCATGTATCTCCTCTTGCACGTTTTTGTTTTTGGTTTTGGTTTTTAAGTGTTGCTATAGGGCACATGCAATCATGAGAGAGAAAGAGAGGGACATTGAGAAACCACCCCCCAGGGGGGATGGCCATGGCACAACCCCTTCTCCATTCTCCTCTCGGGATCTTGGGCATGCTTGTGCCCACGCGCACGCACACACACACACACACACACACACACACTGCTTGTGTGTTTTCCAAGCTGCTGGGTCTAGGACTCAATGGCGCCGCTGGGCGTTGCTATAGGGCACATGCAATCATGAGAGAGAAAGAGAGGGACATTGAGAAACCACCCCCCAGGGGGGATGGCCATGGCACAACCCCTTCTCCATTCTCCTCTCAGGAGCTTGGGCATGCTTGTGCCCACGCGCACACACACACACACACACACACTGCTTGTGTGTTTTCCAAGCTGCTGGGTCTAGGACTCAATGGCGCAGCTGGCCACGTGGGATCAAGCTGCCTTACCCACCCCACCAGCAGCTGGCCCCTTGCACATTTTTAAGTGGACATCTCAGTTTCTTGTTTGCTAGAGGGCACACGTGCTCCCTGGGGGGAGAGAGGAGAGAGCATGAGCAAGCACCCCCAGTTGGGGTGGTCATGCTGCAAATCCCTTCTCCTCCATCTTGCCCCCCGTTCAAGATTTTGGACACACATGCACATGTGTTTTTTAAGCGTCCGGGTCCCAGACTGAAATGCAGTTTGTCACGTGGGATCCAGCCACTGTAATCACGCACTGGCTGGCCCAACATCCAGTGTTTTTAATATAAGTTTAAAAACATGCAGAGGATGTGATATCTGGCATTTGATAAATATTTACATCTTAAAATAGAACTGCCACAACCCTTTCAAATCCATCAAATGGAATCCAAACACTTGCAGTGATTTAAAACCCCCATCTATTTTAAAAACACAGGACCCAGCTCTTCTCGAGCAGCTGGGAACTTCATCGGTCCCTCTCCCTTTAACTTGTATCTCCATCCTGTTTTCCCTGCAGAATTTTATACCAGTGCCAATTTTTATGGTTGAAAATCTTTTATTACTTTACCATATTTCTCTGCCACAACATGTATTTATGAGTGGAAGTTAAAGCATTTGATTTCCTGTGGCAAAAGGTTCTGAGGATCTGTTAAAGTCTATTTTTTTTTTTGAGAGGTTTTTGCTATAGGACGCGCGCCCTCGCCAGACAGAAACAGAGAGACAAAAAGTGAGAAATCACCCCCCAGGGGGGATGGCCACGCCGCAATCCCTTCTCCTCTATTCTCCTCTCAGGATCTTGGGCACGCACACACACGCAGCCGGCATGAGTTTTAAGTCACCGGGTCCGGGACGCGAACCGCGGTTGACTACATGGGAGTCAAGCGACATAGCCATTACACTAACTGCTGGTCCGCAAGGATCTGTTAAAGTCTTCTGAATTGAGTTATTAATACTATTTTTTGATATACGACATGGTTTCAAAAAATTGGTCAAAACAACATAGGTATCAAAAGCTTTTCTAAGTAACTTATTGTTAAGTCTGAAAAGGAAAATTGATAGAAAACACACCTAAATGACACAGGTAAGAATTTAATTGCTCGTGAACCTCTGGATGAGTATGTATTGCTGGAAAAAATTGGGACTCAGTGTCAATTCTTTTCTTTCATTTTTTTTTATAGCCGTGCGTGCTGAGAGGGCTTTTCAGATAAATAGATGCTCTTAGTAATGTCGCTCAGTTCTCTATGCTTCTGAGATGTATGCTCAAAATTGCACAGTGATCCATCAGCGAAAATGATCAGTGGCCCATTTGATTAAGTCCTCTTTAAATCTGAGATCAAATGAATTGGAAATGATCAGATTTATGGTAGGCTTTCTGCACAGTCATCAGCTCGCTCGCTTTCTCCCCGGCTCTCTCTGGAGGTCAAGGAGGTGCCTCCTTGGCTCCCCCACCCCCTCCCCAGGTTCCCTGCCCAGCAGCAGTGCACCCCGTCATTACCCAGGCTCAGACTGCTTGGTGGGGCCAGTGGGGATACCAACACAGGGCACTGCGGCAAACTGTAATGCAGGCTGGATGCGAGCCCTGCTTCTCTTGTGAGGCAGGAGGGGCAGTTGGGGCACCCTAAGTTTGCTCTCAAGAGAGAGCTCATGAGGTCTGCCTGAGCACCCCGAGGCAGAGCAATGGCCACATCCGTTAGCATCACGGGGCTCTTGCAGAGCAAGGAGCTGCAAATGGCTTGGGCCCACGAGGCCAGAAGAGACTGAGCAGGCACTTGGTGGGTACAGATGCTGCAGTCGGCGCTGGATCCCGGCCACTCACCAGTGCTCTCCTGACGTAGCCCTCAGCTCATTATTCCTCCTGTCCTCACCTCCCTGGAGGAACCCCGGGCCTGTGATCCCTGCTGGGAGGCAGGCCTGCCCGGGCAGCACAGTGAAGCACCTCGAAGTTGCCGGTGTGTTCGGTGTGTTCGGCTGGCAGTGTGACCTGCTCTCTGTGCAGTTGAGGAGGCTCCTCCTTGGCCCCGCCCCAGCACTTCATCCCCTCATTATCCGGCACTTGGCCATGGCCCCCACTGAGCTCTGCCCTTGAAATGCCACTGGAGTCATTAGGCCATCTCTCTGGGTCCCCACTTTGTTAACCTCGTTAGGCACCTGCTCCTTGTAAGGGAGCAGGGCCTCGTTAGCACCTGCTTCGGGGGTGGCAGCCCTCCCCAGCCGTTGTTTCTGGAAAGTGGCCTCATTAGCAGACTTCTCTGAAGCGGACAGCTTCTAGCACCAGACCCCAACAGGCCCTGAAGCTCTCCTGTTTAACCCTTCCCCTACCATGATGTACACGACTGGGAAGACTTTAGCCACAGGGGATTCCGATACCAGCCTCCTGGCCGCACTCCTGGTGAAAGACCACAGACAGAGCCCAGACCCAGCAGGGCTCCAAGCCCCTGGCCTGTCATCAAAGTAGGGCCAGGAAGTGACAGATACGGCTGCAGGAGTGGCAGGTGATAGGGATCCCGCGGTCCTGAGGAAGATGGCTAGCGCGGACCTGCAGTGGAGCTACGGCACTCAGGGGGAGGGACCTCCACAGACAGTCAGGTGGAGGTGGAGACACGTAGGCGCTCACTCCCGGGGCTGCAGCGGGGGAGACATGGCGGGCATGTGAACACGGACTCCTAGGAGGAGACCCAGAGACGCAGGCACACTCCTCCTGTCTCTGTCGCCCACTGACTGACCACCACTGCGTCCCAGGCGAGGAATTCAGGAACCAGACCCATCCAAGACAATCACCTGTTGAGAAGAAACAGGTCCGACAACAGCGAGGAGGGAAGCAGGCACAGGAGGTGCGCGTCTGTCTGCCTGGGGCCTCGCAGTGGCCGTTTCTGTATCAGTCGGAGGACCGACCTCCCAGCGTGAGTCTCACCTGTCCTCAGTCCCTCTCACCATCTCTCCTAGCTTCTGCCATGGTGGCCCCAAACCAGACAAGACCCGAGGGCCCTGGGACCTCAGCTGCCCTCCCATTCTCTCCTCCTGTCCCACCTGGGCCTGGGCCCGCCTCATCAACCCAGGGACGGGCAGAGGAGCCCAGTGTTCAGTTCCTGCTTCGGTGGAGCACGTGCAGTGAGGCAGCTGGATGGAGGGGGATTCGTAGTGGGGACAAGGGAGGGGACTGGAGAGGTACAGTCTGGAGGACAAGGTGTCCTTTGCCTGGGGTGGGGGGCAAGTCTGGGGTCTGTTAGGCCAGAGTTCTTTCCTGAGAAGGCCTTTCCACCAGAATCAGGGTTTGAGGTGAGGAGGCTGGGGCCCTCCAGCCGAGGAGCACGGCTAGGGCTCATAGCTCTGAGACCTCACCGAGTTTTTCTGTTTTTGTTTTTGTTTTTGTTTTTGTTTTTTGAGAGGTTTTTGCTATAGGGCACGTGCGCTCACCAGAAAGACAGCAAGACAGATAGAAAATGAGAAATCACTCCCCAGGGGGGATGGCCACGCCACAATCCCTTCTCCTCCATTCTCCTCTCGGGATCTTGGGCACGCACGCACACACACCGAACAGTTTAAGCCATCGGGTCTGAAACTCGAACCGCGGTTGACTACATGGGAGTCCAGCGACATAGCCATTATGCCAACTGCTCGTCCTATCACTATTTGTTTTTTTTTTTATCGGAACAAACAGATGGCTTATAGGCAGGAGGACTTTGAGCGAGGGTGGTATTTCCAGGCTAGGTGGGATCTGAGAATCTACATTTCTTTCATTCCTTCTCTTCTGGCCAGAGAGCCATTACACTCATCAGAGAGGTAGCAAGAGAGGGAGAGGGAGGAAAGACGCCCACAATAGGCATGGTCACACCACAATCCCTTCGCCATTGCCCATTGCTGTTGAGATTTGGGGCATGCACATATAGGTACCCAGCATGTTTTCCAAGTCTCCAGGACTGAGATTCAAACCATGCAGTCGGCCATGTAAGGTGCAGCTCCCTTAACCACTGGTTAACCACGAGGTGACAGGGCCAGCCCAGAATCCGCACACACGTACTATAGAAAGCAGGGGCATGGCCTGACTTTCTGGAAACCTGTAAGTGGAGGAAGTGACATGTTTACACATATAAGCTTACACGTCAATGTGCCCAGCATGGTTTCCAGGCCTGGTTCTGAAGTGCCACTTAGATGTTAACAGTGGGACATTGGGCAGAGGATGGGCCGACATCACTGCCGTGTGCTGCAGTTCCTCTGGATTTCTCACTGTGCATTTCTGGCCCTCTGGTACAGCTGCAGCATGCGTCTCCTTGGTTTCTCACTGTGCATTTCTGGCCCTCCGGTACAGCTGCAGCATGCCTCTCCTTGGCAGAAACTCACATAGCCTCAACCTTCACCTGGCAAACCCTGCCCACTCGCCTCTTCCAGGCAGCCTTCCGACCCATACCACGAGCTGTGTCCCTTCCAGGCCTCCTGGGCAGTGTCTGCAGGCTCCACTGC